ATGTGGCGTGTTTATTAAGGTTACATAAATAGGAATTAGACAGGGTATTTTTAGGGAAATCAGTTTACTCATAAATCTCTTAATGGAAAAGTAAATTGTATGAATAATTGTGTACAGAAAGGCAAAATTTTAATAACTTCTGTAGTTCTTGGATTACAAAAGCAGCAAATATTCACTGATAAAAATTTAAAAAAAATAAACAAGTAGAAAACATTCTGCAATGTTACTGATTTAACATCTTAAAATTTTAAGATATATATTTTCATACAAATGCTATGTTTTTAAAAAAAAATTGAGATGATAAGCTAGGAAGTTTAGTATATGGATTTTTAAAAACTTGACATTAGGTTATGAGAACTTCCCCGTGAGATTAAGTAGTCTTATGTAGCAACATAGCGTTACTGTTGGGTATACCGTAATTTATTTCACCATTTTTTGTATTGTGTGCTTTCACATTATTTCTGATAAATACTTGTTCACATGTTTAGTATGTAAACTTACTGTGAATTGAGTATCCCTTACCTGAAATGCTTGGGACCAGAAGTGTTTAAGTTTGAGTTTTTCAGACTTTAGGATATTTGCATATACATAATAAGATATTTTGGGGATGGACTCAAATCTAAACGTGAAACATGTTTCATGTACACTTACCATCCATAGCCTGAAGGTAATTTTATGTTATTTTTAAAACTTTATTCATGAAACAGAATTTGATATGTGGAATTTTCTGCTCAGCCTCTCAATGTTTGGAGCATTTCAGATTTTCATATTAGGGACACTCAATCTGTAGAAAGCTTATTAAATCAAGGATATTGGATAAGGCATTTGATATACATTTTGCCATTTGCTTTTCAGAAAATTAACTTGCAGCCCTAGCAACACAGGAAAATTCCCAAACGATTCTGTTTTTTAAGTCCCAAACCAGCCAATATTGTAGTTTTTGGATTACTTTAATTTTTTTTTTTCTGTTTCAGCATTTTTAAAAATCACGTTTTAATGACCATCTCCATCCCAGATTAGGGGGAACTAAAAAAAAGATAGGGCCTTAACATGAGTTTGACAGTGTTAGTGAAAGTTTTGGAAGGAATGAGATTTAGTTTGTTTTAAAATTTTCTGTAACTCCCTGTTTACATTCTATTTTCCTGGACACAGTGGATAGGCAAGTGCCTCACGCCAGGGCCGCCGACACCTAACTTTGAAGTCTCACCCTTGGGTAGAAATGGTGACGCGGAGCTTTTTTCTTGGCTCGGTGAGAGGCAGAGTCTGCTGGGGAGCTTGCGCTTACCGTGTGGCCGGTTCAGGCTCAATGGCTGGGCTCGGATTGCTTCCCCTACAAGCCCAAACACTGCTCTGCATCCCTTAGCGCCTGCCTGGTTCAGTGCACTGAAATCCCTTCGTTTATTCCCAACTCGGCCTTGTTTGCTTGGAGGAAATACCAGTGACGTAGGCCAGTGCTCCAGGGGCTGACCTGCAGGCAGCCCAGTCCTGCCTGAGCCTGGAGCTGTGGAGACTTCACGGCGGTGCTGTGCGGGTTCAGCTTGCCTGAGGTCCTGGGTGCCCGGGCAGGAAGTTCATCTTGTCTTCCTTGTAGTGTGTACCACTTTGTTACAGGCGTCCTTGGAGTTTTCACAGCAAGGTCAGGTTAGTAGTACCTGTTGGGAGAGTTAGCTACTCCACTTGTCAGCTTTTCCATAGATGTAGTTTAGTCTGGTATTTCCTGATAATAGGGATTAGACTTTCATTTTTCTGGTATTTGCAAGGGCTACTAGGTAAAATTTCTATAGGTAAGAAGTTTAGATACAGTTGTGGTGCAGCCTTGCAAAGACTCAGTTGTTGGCTGTCTATATTAGGTAGAGAGCACAGGTATAGAGTTTTTAAAAAGCATTTAATATGTTTGGGTCCGATTTGGAGAGGAAATTGATGATATTCCAAGCCACATGAAGACAGGCTGTGTGTGTAGCCTCATTTGTGCATGCAGTACTTAGTGTTTAGTTGCTCTGCCTTCTCCGATGGACCCATGGTTGGGTCTGGAAGTGCAGCATCCAGGGAAGCCCTGGCGGGGTCAGCCTGCTGTTTTGTCCTTGCCCAGGCTCCTGAGAAGGAGGAAGAGTGGGAGAGGTTTGTTGGATATGCAGATCGAAATGTAGCAGCAGTGGTGTCAACACCGAGTTGGAAGTGTGTGAATTCCAAACTGCCAGTGGGTTTTGCAGAGGCTGGTTCTACAACTGTTTTCAGCAGCTTGCCAAACTTGTGTGCGGGGGCCACCCACACTTCCTTCCTGTCCTCCAGCCACACCCACACTGCGGTTGCTTCTTTTCTCCCTAGCTGGGAGAACATCAGCATGCTCTTGCACCATGCACAAGTACTTGTTGCTCAGATTTGGAATCATGTTACAGAGACCCGACTGGTCGTCCTGCTTCCTGTAGGTCCTGCCTAGTTGCACACGTGTGTGAGTATGCTGAATAAGATTGCGGCAGAGTGGCAGAATGGTCTGCTTAGTGGCATTTCCTGTTTTAAAAGATGTCATTCTAGCTATGTAGTTGTTAAAACTGATCAGAAGTAAAACAGTGCATGAGAAAACATTCACCACGTAAGTAGAGGGAAAAGTATCAGACTTCCTCACGGTGTGCTTAATCCGTAAGGATGTAAGGATCTGAGACCTGCAGGAGTCATCCTTGATGAGAATAAAAATCACCTGTAATTCATTTTCTTGGTTGTGCTTTTCCACATCTCTCAAAATTTCTAAAGTGAACTGTTGTTTGTTTGTTTTGATTTTTTTTCCAGCACTAGAAATTAAAGCCAGGACCTTAGCGCTGAGCTGATTCTCAGCCCCTTTTTATTTATCTTGAGACAGGCTCTTGCTAAATTGTCCATGCTGGGCTCGCGCTTGTCTCAGCTTCACAGAGTGCTGGGATTACAGGTGTGTGTATACCACCACACCAGGCCCAGTTTACATTGTAGAAATACAGTACAGCGCCTCTCTTCCCCTGACATCACCCTCCTTGCCCTGTGTATTATCTCATTTTGCCAAATAATTGTATCTGGACATATACTATACCTAGAAAATAATTTGGGAGGCTGTGTACCATATGGACTGAATGTTAGCAGATGTTGTTATGGGTGATAGGATAATGGAATGGTTTAAAAAGAAACAACTAGTCGGGCTGGGGATTTAGCTCAGTGGTTCTGCTGCCTGCCTCACAAAAAGAAGGCCCCACGTTCAATCCCAGTACCAAAAAAACCAAAAAACAAAACTGCTCTTTTATCTTTTTTTTAAACCAGTGTTTATGTTTTAATTATATTTTTTATAAATGAAACATTTTCTCTCATAATTGAAATAAAAATAGTAAAAGGAAGGTGATATGGCAAGTGAAAAAAGCAGGATGCAAGATATAAAATGCATAGAATGATTGCACCTTTGAAGACAAAAGAAACTATCTAAATACTTGAAAAGTGACTACCAGAATGTTAATAGTGCTCATTTGCGGTGGTGGGACTATGGGTACCTTTTTATTCTATTTCTATTCTGCTCTTTCCAGATTTTCTGTAAGAATATATTAATTATTTTGACAAGAAAGAATGTAAAGGAATATTTAGTTTTTTGGAAAGGAAATATTTAATACAAAGCAGATACTCAGGTTTTTGAGATACTTTATTTGAAAGTCATCAGACTTTGATATTGAGGCATTAGTTCCTGTATCTCAGAGTTTTATAGCACTTATCTTCTAAACAGATTTTAAGGTACCTGCTACAGAATTTTTATGAAAATGAGAGATACTAACGTAGTGAATTCTTTTGTTTTCTTTCTTTTTTTTAGTACACATCTGCAGTACATGATTACATTTATCTTGGGGAGTCTTTGTGTACGTAAGACATCTTGATTGGTTTTTTGTCCCCTACCCCTCCTTTTGCTCCCTGTTCCTTCCAACTCTTGGTCCCCTTGAAGCAGGGTGAACAGCGAGGAGAATTCCACTGGGGACATGGAGTGCCGTGAGCCAGAGCCACCCTCTGGGCCTTCAGAACCAGTGCCGCTGGACCCCCACACTGCCTGGCTGTGCGGGGATGTTGTTAGGGGCCGGCCGGGCATCCAGGGTTCCCCTGTGAGCAGACTGGACCCGCAGCGCTCTCATCCTCAGCCCAGTCCTGCCACTGGGCTCGTTTTTGTTCTGCTTTTCCTCCGCATCGTTCCTGTCGCTACTCTCCTGCATCCCCTTCTCCCAAGAACGTAGGAGCTCAGGTTGATTGTTGCTTCCACGCCCTCAGCTGCGGTGAACGAGCTGTGGGCCTCCCTGAGTGCTTGGGTCTTCCTGCCACTCTGGTGGTATGCCGGTGTCGTAGAAGGGCCCGCGAGACCACCCCTCAGAATTTCCTCGCTGCGCCACAGATGTGGATAGATGCGATCTGTTCACAGCCTCTGTTCATGGTCAGGTTTACTCCCCCTGGGAAGGGCGAGCCTTTGACGTCAAGCTTTTCATGTCTCCCCACGCTGGCATTGGGATTGATTTCTACTTGCTTGGTAGAAGAGGGCCTGGGAAAAGTTGCTCTTCTTGGCTGCATTGTGGGGGTGGGTTTCACGAGCCTCTGGGCGTTCATGGAGGTTGGGGGCCCTTCAGAGGCAGGCTGAGCATGCGTGGAGCCAGAGGCCGTGCTTACCAGAAGGGGAGCCTCCCCATGGAACCCCCTCGGGGTCTGGGTTGCACAGTGGCTTGGGCTGTGTCCAGGATCTCCATGGCGCGGCAGACCTGTGGCTGTCCAGTGTTGCCTCTTCCTTCAGTGGAACGATCCTTCAGACCTGCCTACGTGGAAGAGTCTGTGTGCCTGTTTGCTGAAATCACTGTTTATTCACGGTTTCTTAGCAGTCTTCGGTCACCGAGGGCAGAGACTTGGGAGACAGATTTTGCTGCTTTTATGCATTTGTCTAGAATTTAGCCCAAGGGTGTATGTGTTGACTTTAAGTAAAGTTAAGTAGAACTAACACCCTTTTCTGTATTTTCTTCCAGGAGAAAGAGGCTGCTAACAGAACCCTGTGATAACAAGGATTTTCAGGCTACAGCTTGCAGGGCACGTGTTGGAGCTTGGCACCCTCCTGCCCCTCAGGCAAGCCATGCGTTGTGTGTTCAGATGAGAGCCTGTAAGATCAAAAAATGATTTAATTTTCTCTAATTCAGAAATCACTTGGTAGTAGCATTAGACTGTGGGTTAGAATTTAAAAGAATATTCACTATTAAGAATACTTTTCCTCCCAACCTTCAGTTAGTCATAATGTCTTGTTTTTAGGCATGAAACTTAATTGTTGTTTCAGTCTCTGAAAAGGAGGTACCTACCCAAAAGTAACTTCTGTATGGAGTAATGAATCTACAGGCCAGTATGCCCCTGTGAGGAAACCTACTAGACTCTTACCTGTGAGCCTGCTAGTTAAAGATTACTTCATTTTGCCATTTTGTTGGCGCAGGTCTAGGGAGAGAAGCACCAAAGGGTTTAATAGTGATTATCCCTGGGTGCATGAGACCCTGAATAAAGGTCTTTTGTTTTTTCATTTATTATTATCATAATGGCGTAGATGTAATTTTTAAAAGCCTCCAGATTCACTTACCAAATTTGATTGATACGCTATCTTCCCAAACACACCTAGGCTGAAATGGTACAGGAGTAGAACAGAGATTACATAACACGACCTGCTGAAGAAGTGTGTTTTAAACCTGGCTATATTTGCAAACCATGCAGTAGAAACAGACTGGGTAGATTTTACGAATAATTCCTGCCCTTATAATTAATTGGAATTGAGGACTTCGATAGTTTTTGCCCATCTTCAGTTAGTCTTTCAGTTTAGGTTTTCTTATTATCATGTTGTTAAAATTATTAGCTCAGATGTCAAGGATAATATAGAGTATAGAAGAATTTGCTTTTCTTCTCTAGCATCTGTACATCGTACTGCTTTCTTATTTTAAAAACCTTAATGGAAGCAGGATTAATAATTTAGTTTTGGTTCTGAAATCAGATTGCAGAGTGGAAGGCGGCATACACTGGTGCGGGGAGCCAGGGTACTGACGCCTCGTGCTCCTGTCTAGGGTCCTGTGAGGGTGGAGGTTGGTGTGTGGGTTTGGTGTGTGGCTGAATGGTAGTGCTAGGTAGCTTGCGGTCACTCCTGAAATGTAGGAAGCTTATGAGTAAACATTTCTCTGTTACTTTTTAAACTTGCATATTTTTTTTCCCTCACTGAGTTTATTGGTACATTTTAGGTACACAGTACAGTTACATTCGTCATTGGGATCTTGTACCTTTACATGACAGGTCTTGGTTCTCAGTTTTTCTCCAGACCCCTGCCCTCCCTTCACCCCCTACTTGCACACATTTTTTGAGGTTGCCCCACGTCATGATTCAGGTGGTTCCTGAAGTGATTAGAACATGGGAATGACTTCAGGCCTCTTTCTCAGCTGGTGCTTTAGCTCCTAAAGCCTCCCCAGAGATGGAGAGTGTTTAGGGTGGGAGATGGGCTGTGAAGGGCATGGGCTTTGGCGTGTGAATTAGGGTTGGGTTCTAGCTCTGCTGTCTTACCTAAGTCACTGGACGTGGAACCCAGGCCGCTTGTCCGTCTGAAATGAGCTGATCCCGTCTGACTTGCTTTGCACAGATGGGTGTACCGCACTGGGTTTTAATACATGCCGGCTCTTCCTCTGTCCTTTGAAATACAAATGAAACACAAAGGAATGGAATGCTGATGCTTTGTTTAAACTACGCTGTTGTGTATAAAATAATAGTTTTCTAAAATAGTCTCACTTAAATGTACTAATGTAAATACTTCAGGACATGTCTAAAGTTAGGAAACTGTGCTCTGGAGCCTTGGAGGAGACTTCCCTGAAGGGGTGGGTGTATTTCCTGTCCGCCATTAGAGACTGAGCTCATTTTGGGAACTCGCTGCATTCTCGCTGGGTCTTGTTACTTATTTTTATTAAATTTTGGTCAGAAAAAATATGGGCATTCAGCCTGTGAAATTTAAAGTGACATCCTAGTTTGTATAATTTTATATGTTTATTTACTTTTCTGAGTCAGGCTAATTTATAAGAACCTATTCCTATGTTTGGGGCTTGTATCATAAAGTTGGAAGATTTTTAATGTGGTACGAAATTTAAGGTTTAAATGGTCTGTGAGATGTATGTATGCTTGATCCTCTTGAAGTATAAGCAGGTTATGATGGTTTATCCTTGAGAGTTCAGAAACTATACTAAAAATAGGAACATGAAATAGGTAGTGAAAGTAGTATTTACAGAGACAGTGTGGGTCAGCAGCAAGTATTTACTAAGCACCTACTGTATGCAAGAACAAACAATTGTCTTATAAACATTTGGGGGCAAAGTTGAATTTTATAATTTAATAAAGTTCTGAGTACTGCACTTGGTAGAGGTAAGCACTGTTTTAGGTATTGTATGAGGGTGAAAGAACAAAACAGGACCTTAGACTAGGAGGCCCACGGGATCTTTGGAGTCTCGGGTTGGAAGATGTGCATCCAGCCAGCTGTTTCCACACAGGGTGGCGGCATTGGAGGTGCGGAGGGGAGAAGGTGGCTGCAGAGGGAGTCGCAGGCCTTGCTGAGGGGATTTAAAGCAAATACTGTAGGGTCGTGGGAACAAGCTGGGTTTCTGTCCAAATGTTTATTCTTTGGTTTTCCCTTTGTCAGCTCCTCCTCCCTTTGTTTTTTAAAGATGCTAATTGATATTAATTTGGGGGAGTTTTTTTTGTAAACTTAGCTTATCAAACTTGTAGTCTGTTATTTCCAAGGAGCTGTTTATTTTTTGTTTTGCAAAATTCAATATGGTCTCTAAATTCTCAACCTTTACTTTATACTCTAAGCTCTAAATATAGAGGTAGGTTCTTATAAATGACCCTGAATAATTTTGTCTTGATTTATTTGCTTTAAGCATCCCTTAAAGTGGAAAAAAGAAAAAGCATTTACAGAAATTTAATTTTGTTTCTCCTCTTATTTTGTAGATGTCCACGGCAACACTGAAAATGAATTGCGTACTTTCTGCGGATTCTCTCATATGAGCGGGCCCCTCTCAGACAGCCTGCGTTGTGTTCCTTCTGTCGGACCAGCATGGCAGGGTTCAAGCGAGGATATGACGGGAAGATTGCTGGATTGTACGATCTGGATAAAACCTTGGGTAGGGGTCACTTTGCCGTGGTGAAGCTTGCCAGGCACGTCTTCACAGGGGAGAAGGTGGCGGTGAAGGTTATCGACAAGACCAAGCTGGACACCCTGGCCACCGGACACCTTTTCCAGGAGGTGAGGTGCATGAAGCTAGTGCAGCACCCTAACATCGTGCGCCTCTATGAAGTCATTGACACCCAGACCAAACTCTATCTTATTCTAGAACTTGGAGATGGAGGGGATATGTTTGACTACATCATGAAACACGAGGAGGGGCTCAGTGAAGACTTGGCTAAGAAGTACTTCGCTCAGATAGTCCATGCTATATCTTACTGCCATAAACTCCATGTGGTCCACAGAGACCTAAAACCAGAGAATGTAGTCTTCTTTGAAAAACAAGGTCTTGTGAAGTTGACAGACTTTGGTTTCAGCAACAAATTTCAGCCAGGGAAGAAACTCACAACAAGCTGTGGATCTCTTGCGTATTCCGCTCCAGAAATTCTGCTTGGTGATGAGTACGATGCCCCTGCCGTAGGTGAGTGACGGCTGCCCGTCTCTGCCCTTTTGAATCCTACCAGCTCATTAAGCTTAGCTGCTCAAATTGGTGTGGTTTCCTAAAATCATTTCTAAAATTTCCGTTAACTGCGCCTGACCTAACACACTGGGTGTCACGAGCCCCGTTCATCCCCAAGGCTGGTGTCTACTCCAACCTTTTGATGGTAGAGGCCATCATACATTTGTTAGCACGAGGGAAATGAGTACGTCATCAAGTACTTTTTTCTAAAGGTCTGAGTTTTTTTGCATGTCTTCTCTGATCTATTTTTCTGCCATTGGCCCTAGCCAGCCCTGTCATATGGATACCCTTTAACAATTACTTGAGACCCTCAGTAGCCATATTGGAAGGTTGTCATGAGTGTTGGAATCATGTATTGTGACTTGTGACTGAGCAAATGCTTGCCCCTCCGTGCTTCACGTGTTCATCTGTAAAACAGGATAAGTGGATTCAAGTCTGGCTTTCCTATAGTACCTGCTTGCTTTTCTCAGTGACCATGTGGTGGTTACTGCCTGTCTCGTGGTCAGGATAGGAGCTCGATGTGCTGGTGCCTACGTGTGTTGCTGTTGGAACAGCGTAGCCCCTGGCATGCTGGCTGCCCTCTCCCCACCTTTGTGCTCTCTCACTTGTCTGGTGACCTCCTTGTGGCGGAAGTGTTTCGTGCTTCTCAGGTCTGATCAGCTTTCCCCGTTGGAAGCATGTGTTTCGAAGGTCACGTGAGGTTTTTAATTTGTTAGGATTTGTCATTCTGAAGATGTAGTCAGCAGCTTTTTAATGTTTTAGTTTAATATTAGAAAAATACACCCTCAGGTTAGTGATATCAAACAACCTGCTTTTCTATTTGCAGTCTGTTTGCAATGCACCTTTAAAAAGGTGATGGCAAAGTGCCTGCACTGTTGAGGGGTACCGGTGGTTCCAGGCACAGGACTCTCCGCTCTTGTTAGACGCTTGTGTTGTGGAACAGAAAAGGTTAATGAATGCTTTCTGCTTCCTGCAGATCCAGGCTTCACTGAGGTCTTTCATTACAATATTTGAGGTAGAGATTTTTGATTAATGGAGCCACTCAAATAAGAAAATGAAGCCAGGAATTCACAGAAGAAACAGAAATGTCTGAGTGTGAAAAGACCTCCGGCAGCTGTAGCACAGGGAAAAGCAAATGAAAGCCACCATAAGACAGTTTCATAATTTGCATATTGAGAAAAACTAAAGGCAGACAAGGAAACATTGATAAGACTATAGACCAATAGGCACTTGTATAATTTAGAAAACAAGTTTCATACTATTTAGTAAAGAAAAGTACCTGGGCATGGTGGTGCACACCTGTAATTCCAGCACAAGAGGCTGAGGCAGAAGGATTGCTGCAAGTTCTAAGCCAGCCTGGACTATATAGTGAGACCCTGTCTCAAAACCGCCCCCCAAAAAAGAAAAGAGAAGAAAAATGTACATCTTGTGATCCAACTATTTTATACCTGTGTATACATCTCACTTGGGCATTTAAGAGATTTTTCAAAGAACGTGTTTAAGATACTCGTTGCATCTACATCAGCAAGGGGATAAATGGCACCATGTGAGTTCAGAGCATGCCAAACAGAGTTGTGCGTTATTTAATGGAGCGTGTGTGAGCAGTGGACTGCAGCATGCTCTGGAGCAGACGGGTACTTCTGAGGGACAGGCGGAGCAGGGTGTCTGCTCTATTGACCAGGTGCATTTTCTGATTTGGGTGGTAGATGCACAGGTGTTTACTGTAATTTTTTTCTTGTACCTTAAAGTACTATGTAATAAAACATTAAAAAATCATAAAAGGGGAAAAAATTGGGAGGATGTTCCAAAAGACAATTGAGAGAATCTGGTAGTTTTTTTGTAAAATAGGTTGGGTGGAGAGTTCACAGCTAATTTTTTCATTTTGTTATTCATACTTCATTTCATCTTGTGTAGTAGTGTGATTAAAATAAAGAGCAAACGGGTAATTAATATTTCTGTTAATATACTCTTTGTTAATTGTGCCAAAATCAATTGATGGTTTTTCACAAAGTTTTAGCAAAGTGAGTGTGGCCAAAAATTACCGTCTGCTATTATAATTAATTGCCAGATTGCCTTAGTTACTTTTCCCTCATTGCTGAGACAAAGTGTCCGACACCCAAAGTTACGGGGGAAAGTTTCCTTGGCTCACAGTCCGTAGAGGTTTCAGCCCATAATGGGCTGGCTCCAAGGCAGGGTGGCACATGGCGGAGGGACATTGTAGAGGAGAAACAGTTAATGGCAGGCGAAGACAGCAAAAGCAAGCACGGGACAACCACAGCTCCTTCTATCCCTTCTATCCCATCCAGGCACTCAGGGCAGGCAGCGCTCACACCCTTATCTTGGTGTTCTTGAGCCCAGCCTGCTCCATGAGTCAATCCCAGCATCACATCCTTGATCTGGCCACCTCTGAAAAGCCCCCGCTGTGACTGCAAGAGGCTGGGGACACCTAGACACAGCCAGAACACAGATGTTGCTAAATAAGACTGGTTCGGGTTTATAAATAAGTATTTTATGGTGTACTGGTCCTTGGCATTGAGATTTAGCTCAGGATTCATCTTTATTATTCTTTTTAAAGAATCAAATTTAATTTTACTCAATAGCTGCATTTTTTGTTTTCAACGTTACTGCTTTTTTTTTCTTTCATCTATATTCTTTTTAGGATGTACTTTCCTCCACTACCCTTTCCTCTTCTCTTTGCCTTTTCCTGTTCCTGTTCTTACTTCTTTAGTGTTTCAGCCTCTGGAAGCTGTATTTAATGCCTCTCATGACTCCTGTGGGTTTTGCTGTGTAGCCACAGCTCACTACTGTTTGGTTTCTTATTTAATCCAAGTTAGAAAGATTTCTCACTCCTTATTTTCTACATAGAGGGGATAGATCTATTCTTTAGTTCTGATTTTGAGAATCTAATTCTAGTATATTAAAGTCAGTAAATAAATAGGGCAGTTGATTTCTGCTTTGGAAACATTTTTATGTTTTCTTTATGTCTTTATACCTTATAATTTTTACCATGGTGACTGTTCCCCATAAGATTAGTCTTTGTATTTTTGTTGCATTCATAGTTTTCTATATAATTAATATTGTTCATTACGTGATTTATTCCTTTGTATCCTTGTGTTTTATTTTGTCCTTTTCAGAGGTAATTGTGCAGGGCCTGTGAATGTGTGTTATAATCATATTTTGCTTTATTTTCAAGCTAAGGCTTTAAACTTATTTTGAATGATTTATACTTTTTATCAGCATGAAATTACTTACTTGATGTTTGTGTAACTCTCCCTGTTTCTGAGTGAAGACTCTTTGAGTTTGCCTTTTTCCCTCAGCAGTGACGGCGTCTTGGCTGGGTCCCCAGCTGTGATCCTGCTTCTGTGCAGACATCTCCTTTATAACATGAGGGGGCCTGTGAGTCCTTTAATAATAGGCGAATCTGATGGGTTTGTATTTGTTAATACTGGAATATATGGGCATATTTGTGCTCTTTTTTTGTTTTCCATTTGCCTCATTATGCATTCCCTTTCTTATGTTTTGTTAATTGTTCAGGTTTTTTCCACTCCTCTTCAGTTTGTGAAGTGTGCAGTCTGTTTTTCTCTGTATTGGTCTCCACCCATACTGTCCAGTCAGTTAATAGCCATATTCTCCTGCCAACAAGGAAGATACAAATCGTAATTTGCTTTTAATAATAAATTTTGGTTTGCTTTTATTTATAATATGCTTTGATTTTATAAATTTCTTGGTCTCCCTATCCTCCAGATTTTTGTTTTGTTTTATTTTCATCTTTTCTGAAAAGTTTTGTAAAAAAATCTCCAAGTCCTTGTCTGCCTAAAAATATTCTCATATTTGAATGATAATTTGGTATAGAAATACAAATTCAAAATCATTTTCTTCCCAGTTTTGAAGATACATTTCCTGCAGATGTTTTTTTTGTTGTTGTTTTTTGAGACAGGGTCTCACTATGTAGTTGAGACTGACCTGGAACTCACTATGTAGCCCAGTCTAGTCTCCAACTCACAGCGATCCTCCTGCCTCAGCCTCCCGAGTGCTGGGATTACAGGCATGCGCCACCACGCCCGGCCTTCCTGCAGATGTTTTTCTGTTATCTTTTTTTGCTTCCAAAGCTATGAAGGAGAAATGAGGTCTGACGCTAATTTTCTGCATTTCGCTTATTCTGGGTGTGTGTGTGTGTGTGTGTGTGTGTGTGTGTGTGTGAGTGTGTGTGTGAACGCTTCTGTAAGCGGGTTTTCATAGTGGGCATTCTTGCTTGATGCCCTTGGTTCTCTCTGTGGTGCTCGGGGACATTAGGGTTGCTCATCTGTGTTTCCAGATGCCCGGTAGCCATCTGTTCTGCGAACGCCACATGTGCATGTTGTCGTCTCTTGGCCTGGTGGGAAGTCCCAGGTCTGCTCCTGCGGGTGGGCAGATTCACCCCTCCTGGGCATCCTTCTCCTGTTGGGCCTAGCCAGGCCTGCTGAGGGTCGGGGCCCAGCCTGCCTTGCCAGCTGCTCTGAGGTGCTGCTTTCCTCCCTGGGTCCAATCCGCCTGTGCCCTTCTTTCTAGGCTGTGTGCAGGATTGGAGGAGAGCCAGAGCGGCCAGGTCCTGCTCAGGGAGCTATGGTCCTGTCTCTGTGGGGTCCGGGGTTCTGGATTAAGTTACCTTACCAGGGTGCAGACAGAAGGTGATCTGTGTGGAAATCCCAGGGTCTGCGTGAGGGCTGAGTCCTGTGTCCTGCATTAGTTGAGTGTTGCCGGTTCTGTAGTAGTGTAACTGATATCTTGCTCACTTGGAGCGTGGATCAGTTCTATGCAAGGATTTTGATTTAGTTTGCTTGTGTGTGGCTTTGGGCTGTCTGTATTCATCATCTTTGCAGCTCCGCCTGTAAGGGACACACCCCAGTCTGAGCACGCATCCTCATGCATGTTAGTGTGCACACTTCAGTCTTTACCTACCCTAGTAACTCGTTCTCACTCTA